AAATATTCACGTGTCCTAATTGTAAGTTGACAAAATATTCAAAAATATATTGTGAACACTGTATACGCTTGAAATTGATAAATGAAACATGGGCATCTGGAAATAAAAAACTTGATATTTTTCTACGAAAATGTCAAGATGAAAGTCCTGTACCTCATTGCATTGTTGAGTGGATAGAATTTTGTGAATTAGAAAATGTCAAATTTTTAGCTGAAGGTGGGCTCGGAAAAGTGTACAGCCAATGTGGACACGTGGTAAGATCAATGGGTTGGAACGAAACGTCAAACACTTTTGTACGAAAACGCAGAAATGTGGCACTTAAAGTCTTTAATGGAGACGGTCTCCCTGATGAAGAATTTTTTCAAGAAGTAAGTCATTCATTTGTTAATATAAATTGTCATTTTTAATTCAAAGTTCTTTATTCTAATTAACAGGCATATTGGAATCACATATTCACTAAACAACGGAATTACAGACCTTGCGTTGTTGGTGTACTAGGATTCACAAATAATCAAGAAGGAAAATATATGATTGTCTTAGATTTATGTGAGGGAGGCGACTTACAAAATTATCTCCAAAAACATTATAAAATAATGGGTTGGAAAGATAGAGTAAAAGTTGCTTGGGATATTTCATATGATATACATAGAATTGTCGAAAACGGATCGATTCACGGTGATTTGCATCCTGGCAACATACTTTTATTAAATGAATGTATGATTGATGACTGGTATATTTCTGATCTTGGAACGTGTGGACCGGTCGATATGACAAAGGATCAAAAAAGAGAAATCAAGAGGGTATTGCCATACATGGCGCCCGAACTCCTTTGTGGTGACTGCAAGACACAAGAATCTGATATTTATTCTTTTGGAATTATAATGTGGACAATAAGTGCAGGATGTATTCCATTTAATGACCGATACGGTGATCCATGTTTGGTTAACGATATTATATGTGGCCTTCGACCTTCCATCATTCCTGGAACACCGAAAGAATATACTGAATTGATGCGCAAATGTTGGGATAAGGATCCACATAATCGAATTTCCGCAAGGGATGCAGTCCAAACGCTCAAAGTATTATTGAGAGACATTATTGAAAATAATTTTATCGATGAATATCCATGTGAAATAAATAATTCATGGGATCCACTGAAATCAGACTTTACAGTTTTTCGAACTAGTGAATTATTGTCTATTTCACATTTAACTAGTCATTAAGCCATTAAGTGAATTATTTTGCGGTAACTATAGATATTGTCAATTATTAATCGACACGCATCATTCTTTAATTTCATTGATTGAAGAATAGTTTGGTTCAGTTTTTAATATAATTAGACATTAAGCTTATTCAAGTTTGTTTAATACAGTATTATAGCTTATGTTTATAAACAAAATAAAGAACGCTGAAATCTGTCATATCGTATAGAAAACTTCATGATCATTAAATCATTAAAATTGGTTTATTTTTATATCATCTTTTAAGTTCAAAAAAAAATTTAATTAATTTAAGTTTGCTTATTCTTTTCTGTGATTATGATGACTCATACAGTGACCCCAAAACTTTCCGCATTCCGCTGTACTCTGATTATTGTAATCACGTTATGAATTATCGTTCGTTATTGATAATTCGATGATGCTTACTAATTATCGTTATGAAAATGCTGTTAATATTCGAAACATTCAAATTATAGTAAAAAATTTTTTTCTTGTTTTCTTTATTTACAATGAAACATTGTAGTAGTTGTAAAAATTTTTTACCTGAAACCGCTTTTAAAGAAATTAAAGCAACGTTATCAAAAACTTGTAATCAATGTTTGGATTATCGAAACCATAAAAATTGTGAGATTCGAAAATCAAAAAAAATTCATAAGATAATAATTATATATTTAATAATGACAATCTTGATGTTGAATTGGCCAAGATTCATATTAACCAATTATCACAATTTGTTGAAGAATTTGTTGCCGATGAGGAAAATAAGGAATTTGAGCTAAATATTTTATTCGATATTAATGAAGAGATGAATTCAATTACTCAAGTTGCTAAAAAATTAAATGAAATAATTGGAGATAGTGATGGTTATAAATGGAAGTAAGATTTAAGTTTGTTAATTATATAATTATTATAAATCAATTAAAAAAAATATTAATTTAAAATTTGAAAATGTTTAGTTTTTGGAAAGCTAATTATTCAACTTGCCTTCCTGACCAAAAAGGAACAATATATTATCATTGCAGTCAATCTGCAGTTTTAAATAAATTTAAAAATTCTAATAGAAAACAAATTACAAGATTTGAATGTAATGGGCAACTTATTATTCACATTAATATGATAAATTCTAA